AAGATGCAGAATTAGCTGGGAGAATTTAGTGTGTGTATGTGCGTGTGTGTAAGTATAGACAGAATTTAGTTTCATGAAGATTAAAGATATATAGGCATTATATTTCTGAATTACATCTCCGTCCAGTTGATGGCGGTAATGCACACAGGATGCAAACTGCCAGAAAACTCAATAGAAGAAGAAGAAGAGCAGGAGGAGGAGGAGGAGGAGGAGGAGGAACAGGAGGAGGAGGAGCTGCGCAGCGCCGTCAGCAGCTCAGATCCCGGAAGTCTCTCTCGGTCCTGAACTCGCTTCTAAAAGTAGCGACGGTTCTGAGCGAGTTCCCCAGGTTCTCCAGGTTCTGTTCGCTGCTGTCGGACCGGAACCAGTCAGACCGATCCGGTACCAGACAGACCCATCTGGACGGAACTGCAGGGCGGCTGGAGGAGAAGCATGGCGGGCTGAGCTACAGCCTCCTGAGGTGAGTGAAGGAGGGAAGGAAGGCCGCAGGAAGTGGAAGCTGCTCTGCTAGCTGCTAGCCTCTGGAACAGAACCGAGTCTGTCCCAAAGGAACCGAGTCTGTCCCAAAAGAACCGAATCAGTCCCAAAAGAACCGAGTCAGTCCCAAAAGACCCGGCCAAGTGGCTCCAATCGGTTCCGCCCCTCAGCGGCTGGTTTTCCAGGTAGAGGCGGTTCCTACCTGGAAGCTCAAGAGGAGCTGATCGCTTCTAGAAACTCCTCCCTGCTCTGAGGCTCAGGTTGAGGAGAACTGGATCCAGGTTCGGTAGAGTTTTTTTATATCAGATCATTGGATCCAGGTCTGGTTCTGGATCACTGGATCCAGGTTTGGTTCTGGATCACTGGATCCAGGTTTGGTTCTGGATCACTGGATCCAGGTTTGGTTCTGGATCAGCACGGCAGAGAAGAAGGAAGGATGGAGATCCACCTGTAGAAGATCCATGTTGGTAGAAAGATCTGGACAGATGTAGAACCAGCTGCAGGTGGTCAGGTCCTGGTTTCTGGAGGTAGATCCACCATCTTCTGGTTCTCCTGCTGCTGGGTCAGCACCTGGACCACAGGTGAGATGGTAGAGAAACCGTCCTCCAGCAGTTAGCCGCCACGTCACATGGCATCCATCATGAGTGTCTGAGTCAGATTAACAAGCAGACTTTGACTAGGCCACTCCACCTGGTTCAAAGCTGGCTAAAGTTCCTGATGAGCTGACCACCTCCTGCTGGAGAGCATCAATCAGGAATCCTGGCCCACAGCATCACACTGCTGCCACCGTGCTTCTCTAAAACACAGAATTCTGAACCAGATCAGAGTAGAAACACCTCCATAAAGGTCCACTTGGTTCTCATGGTTTCTCATTTCTTTGACTATCAGGAGATGTTTGATGGTGGATGTAATGTTCGGGTGTTTCTCTGTCTGATGGAGATGGAGATGTTAGTGATAGGAGTGTCGGTCACACGTTTCCTCAGATTAGTGAATAAAAGCAGTTAATCCATCAGCAGCTCCTAATTAGGGTCAGAGGTCAGCATATCACTACTCGCCTCTGGCTGACCCCGTTAAAAACACCTGCTTAATTTCCTGGATGTGAAGAGGTCAAAGGTCTTACCTCCTGTGTTCCAGGCTCCTTCCCCTGCTCCCCTCCTGGCTCCTCAGTTGGCGCCATGGCGATGTGGATTCAGGCCCAGCAGCTTCAGGGCGATGCGCTGCATCAGATGCAGGCGCTGTACGGTCAGCACTTCCCCATAGAGGTGCGACACTACCTGGCCCAGTGGATCGAGAGCCAGCCGTGGTACGGTACTGAATGATCTAACGTCAGCCTGAGGCTCTGCAGGTTCCTCTTCCACTGCTGTTTTCTCTCCTCAGGGACTCGGTGGATCTAGATAACACAGGAGAAGAAGCTAAAGCTAAGCGTCTGCTGGACAGCCTGGTAGCAGAGCTGCAGAGAAAAGCTCAGCTGCAGGGAGGAGAGGACGGCTTCCTCCTGAAGATCAAACTGGGCCATTATGCCGACCAGTTCAAGGTAGGATAGAGAACATTCATTCATTCTGAGCCTGTGTGCTTCTCTTTCCGTGTCTCTCTCTGCTGCCGGACTCCTCTGGAGCTGTGCGCGACTCCTCTGTCGTTAGCTGAAGGCTTTCCTCCCTTGGATCAGCTGCTGCTGTAGGACCATGGTTCTGCTTCTCTGAGCGGCTGCGGCCTCCAAATGAAGTAACTCTGCTGTTTCCGTTTTATGTCTGCAGAGCACTTATGACCGCTGTCCGTTTGAGTTGGTGCGCTGCATCAAACACATCCTCCAATCAGAGCAGAGACTGGTTCAAGAAGCAACAAATGTAAGTTTGATGGATCTGACGTGGCTCTCGGCTCCATGCTGGAACCAGAAGATGCCGTGAATGAAAGAGGTGACTGTGTTTGCAGGCCAGCTGTGGGGGCCGGGCGCAGGCCATGGACACGCTGTCCCAGCGCCACCAGCAGATCAACCAGGCCTTCGAAGAGCTGCGCCTGGCCACGCAGGAAACCGAGAACGAGCTCAGGAAGCTGCAGCACAGCCAGGAGTACTTCATCATCCAGTACCAGGAGAACCTGCGCATCCAGGGTGAGGCTGGCGGCAGCGGGACCATGAGCAAAGGCTCATGGGAGCCATATGATTTCAGAGGCCGTTTGTTGGGAGTCAACGTCATGCCTGGTTGGGTTTCTGATCTCTGCAGGACGCCATTTAAATTCGTCCTCCATGTCTTTGACTCCCAGCATAGAGAAACTTTAAGCATCCAGCTGTTTACCTGTTGGTAAAATCAGACGCTCCTATTGGCTGTTTCCAGGCAAATAAAAGCCCTTTGATCTTTTCTAAAAACGGGACCGACTGTGATTGATGTTTTATTGATGTTTTGTTGTTTCTGTGGAGGGTTTGTGTTTCTAACAGACTGCTCTGGTTCTGTGTCAGTCTGTCCTTCTGAGACTCTGCAGCTACCAGATCTGCTTCCTGCCAGTGACGTTACGCTAAGCTTGGCTGAACGTTGCCAAGTGATGTAAAACATTGTGGTTGCCCAGACAACGATAGTAACATCATGCAGCGTCCGTTAGCATGTCTAATGGCCGATGAAGTTTTACCTGATCGATAATAAAACCGAAAAAAGCAGTTTCTGGTGAACAAAGTAACTGTTAGACTGTGATATAAAGAGCTTGGTTAGCCTGATTAAGCTACACTACTTTTAACTTTGTATCAACAACTGTTCGTTTTCTACAAGTAGAATAACTGTTTTATTTGTCTACAATCTCTATGAAAGTCATTTTTCAGATGTTCCATTCGTCCTCCTCTGCCCTCAGATCTCAATAAAAAGAATAAAAATAACCTGAGCCTTTTCTTATCTCCTTGTTAAATAGCAGAGCTCAGCCTGTCGTAGAAGGCAGGACTTTCCTTCCAGACTGACAATGATTGTTTTCTACTTTCAGCTACTTTAGATCGCCGATGAAATGGAAAATAATAACAGATATAGGGAATAATATGTTGAGACTTGAAGAGATTCGATTCTTAAGAAACAGGTGCAATACAGTTTGTCCGAGTGGCGTTGCCATATGATGATGTCATAAGAAGGGGCGGGGCCCTGAGCAGATCTGGTACCTACAGTGGGCCCCCCTGGCCCTCCGTAATGATCCAGACTTAGAAGGGTTGGTTGTGACCCTGCTGCCTTTTTCTGCCCTGCTAGCCCAGCTGACCAGCCTGCCCTCGGTGCCACTGGCTGAGCGGAAGCAGCGGGAGGCCGCCCTGCAGAGCAAGCGGGCCACTGTGGAGGCGTGGCTCGCCCGGGAGGCCAGCACACTACAGAAGTACAGGCTGGTACGGACGCACTTCCCATCTACGTTCTTCCCTCCTCCTCAGTGCTCTGCTGCAAAAAGGGGCCCGATAGCAGGAGGCTTCCTGTTGGTCAAACGTGATCCGTTTATTTTGTTTGGTTTTTAAACACAGTAGATACATTAGAAAGCTCTATCAAACATGGCCGACTCTTCAGGATAAAAGGTTTCAGGACATAAACAGGTTGTTGCTCCGCCCCTTTATGATGGGTCTCCTTGGAAACCAGGTGAGTTATCCTTGGTCTATTTCAGACACTGTCAGGTGAGTTACAGTGTAGTGAAGGATATGCAGCAGCGTTGACCTTTATGACCTTTGAACTGTGAGGAAGATGGCGGATGGTCTTTCTCAGAAGGTTCGGTCAGTTTTTAGCACCTTTAACCTGATTCCTCTTAACGAGGAAACATTCAGCCAAAATGTCGGCTCCACCTGGACCGTCATGGCTCTGCTGGTGGAGGACTAATCTGCTGCAGCTGCGGTGAGTCTGGACCTGCTGACCTTCAGAGTCTGTTTGTAGGACCTGGCAGAGCAGCACCAGAAGACTCTGGGTTTGCTGAGGAAGCAGCAGACTCTGATCCTGGATGAGGAGCTGATCCAGTGGAAGCGCAGGCAGCAGCTGGCGGGGAACGGAGGTCCTCATGAGGGGGGGCTGGACGTCCTGCAGTCATGGTATTGCTTCTGATTTCCTTCTCTCAGTTGGAGCGCCGCCTTCTTGCCCAGGATGTCTGACCTTTGTTTCTTCTGAAGGTGCGAGAAGCTGGCTGACATGATCTGGCAGAACCGACAGCAGATCCGGCGCTGTGAACATCTCACCCAGCAGCTTCCTCTGCCGGGCTCCATGGAGGACCTGCTGACCAAGCTCAACGCTGACATCACCGACATCATCTCCGCCCTGGTCACCAGGTGAGGAGATTCAGGCCCCTACTGGACCCCACCCCCAGAAGGTGCTCTGCACCGCTGACCTTTGACCCACTTCAACCATCCTCTGATGCTGCGCCACTGATCTTAGACCTGCTCCAACCATCCCCTGCTGCTGGCTCCGTGTCTTTAATGGAGTCCCAGCCGTCTCTGCTCCTGGTGGAGGCGGTTCTGGTCCCGTTTCCTCAGTGGCTGAAGGGCTTCATCAGCTGCCTGCTAACCAACGTCTGCTTCCTCTGTTTCAGCACCTTCATCATTGAGAAGCAGCCTCCTCAGGTGTTAAAGACCCAGACTAAGTTTGCGGCGACGGTCCGTCTGCTGGTGGGTGGGAAACTCAATGTTCACATGAACCCCCCCCAGGTGAAGGCCGTCATAGTCAGCGAGCTGCAGGCTAAAGCTCTCCTGAAGAACGAGAGCACGCACAGGTAAGGAAGTCAGCAGCGCCCGTTGGCAGAAGTTTGATTGGCTGTAAAAAGGTCAATGTTTACATTCGGTTATAACGACGATGGCATTGGTTCTGATCTAGATTCATCTGATTATATGTGTTCACAGTGAGCGGATCATAGTTAATGGTTAACAGTTATTGGTTCACAGTGAGTGGATCACAGTTATTGGTTCACAGTGAGCAGTTCACAGTTATTGGTTCACAGTGAGCGGATCACAGTTATTGGTTCACAGTGAGCGGATCACAGTTATTGGTTCACAGTGAGCGGATCACAGTTATTGGTTCACAGTG